CACTGTGCTATCAAGAGACATTTTTCTTCTGAACAAAATAGGCACCCAGCTAGGATCATGTCCGTTATGTTTCTCATGGATAAGCATGCATAAGACTGCAGCTTTTGACTGAGACTGCACTACTACCATATCTCTATCCCACTTAAAGGGGAAAAAAAGAAAGAAACACTTCACATTTAAATTGAAGAGAACTTGGTGGGAAGAAATAGGAAATATCCATAGCTGTACATTTAAAGTTTCTGAAGCATTTTTCTGGTCCTAAAGCACTTTAATAATTCTTCTCCTTGAAGCAATCTTGAAAGACATGTTTAATTAAGAGGAATAAGGCCTGCCCGTGGTGGTCTGAAAATCTGCCAGCTTGATGATCTCTCCCACACTGAGTAGCAATATTCACTTCACCAGTTCTGTTCTAATATTCACCAACTGGCTTCTATTACCTCAAGGGGAAAAAATGTGGTAATAAAGGAGATGTGCCTGTATCACAGACTGTGCCAGAGTATTGTTATTATAAAACACATATAAAATTGCAGATGTTCTTCATTTATATTAGCTTACAAGATGAATTTCAAAACCTCCTTTTATCTTTTTAGATCCACAGTGAAGTGTACATACAGTGATCCAACACATGAGCAAAACTAGGAAAACTAATCAAATCACTTCTAGTTCCCAGCTGAAAAACAAGGCAAAGCCCATTCAGAGTTTTTTAAAATACTTACTAACTAAAACTTACTTAATGGAAATTGAAGTCCCAGAAGCAGCAGATCATACAACTTATGTAGAAGTGATTTGTATTGACTTCTTTGTTTGATTTTTTTTCAGTTTACCCTACAGTGGTAAATGTCTGATGTAGCCATTCTTCAAATCATCCTTGGGATCAGATCCAAAGATTTTATAAATTAACGAAGCTCATAATTCTTAGAGGATTTGAATTTCAACCAATTGCCTCTGAGGATCTTGAGGAGGTTTCCAGAGTACCTTGCAAAGGACCGAAATCACTTGCAGCCTACAATAGTGGAGATTTGGGACATATAATGGATGTCTTATCCCATATGGGCCTGTTATGCAGCTATGGATCTATTGGTCAAATAGGAGGTGGGCACAAAAAAATGGGGTTCTTAAGGGGCAAAAACAAAGTAAAAATATCCCAACTTAAGTCAGGTCAGGGAAACACATTCGAAATAATGGTAAAATTAAACAACTGATAGATTAAGAGATAATTCCTAAGGGAACCTGGAGGTGATACTGCCAACCACATCCCATTGTTCATAAGTAATGATTTTACAATGGGTCTCAGCCTGACAAATGAGGTGGAATGAAATAATAGCCTAGGGTAAAGATGCTGTCTAAGCAAAAAGAGTTAGATTTCACTGAATCCATTGAAATTTAAATTAGACAAAACCACAACTCCAGCATGCCATCATCACTGGTGTATTCATTAGAGCTAAAGGCAAAAAAAAAGCAAAAAAAACCCCCAGTAATTAAAATGCAAACATTATTAAATACTAGTTTAACAGAAATTATAATGTAAGAACATATATATATACACACACACATAATACACACACACACACACACACACACACACACACACACAACCTTAGGGGGTATTTATTCAGGTTGTGGATAAAATAAATAAAATAAAATAAATAAAATCACTGCCTTTTTACTTGCACCATTATTGCAGTACTTTCCCCATTCACCACCATTGCACTTTTCAAGATCCTTAGCCAGCAACCTTGCCTTTTAAATGGCAACCTTTTTGCCTTGAGCAAAAAGAGAAATAGGAATCTATGGCCTCCAGAGGCTAAACTACAACTCCCAGCAATCCCAGTCAATAAATTCAATGATGAAAATGCTACACTTCAACATCATGTGACGAGCCCTAAGTGCTTCAATTTTTTTTTAAAAAAAACTATTAATTTATTTTAGCAAATGCACTTCCTCCCCCTACTGTGCATAGCTGAGTCTTTTTCAAATTACACTTAATTTCAAAGCAATCTTGCCAAAGTGTATTTTCTCACTTAAATTGAAACTTTATAATGTCACTAGATAGCTCTGTCCTCCAGCTTCAAATTATAACCAACTAAATTAATACTGTAATTTAAGTGAAGTGAAAGAACACTTAAAGTGACTTATATTTTATCATCGCTAATTGAAACCAATTGCTTGGATGGTTGGATGGAATTTGTAGTGGAACGGCCTGGTTAATTTTTCTTCCCACTCATGCTAATCTGAGAGTAAATCAAGATAAATGAGTAGATTAAAATCCAGGTAACTAGCACCAATCAGGAGAAAATTGATACACATAGTCACCAAGTCTACACTAACTTGATGGCACATAATCAATATCACTCAAGGTTAATTTTGTGATTTATTGTATATATTAAAAAGGACAAAATTAATCTCCCAGATCTTTGATAAATGGTTGAGTTCACAGATTACAAAGCTACATGTTTGATCTAGTATGTTATGACTGGGAATCCAATTGTAATAATTGAAAAACCATGCTTAATTGGTATGAACCTAGATAACTGTTTTCAGTAAGCTATGGTTTATTTTTAACCATTTTAAATTATGAATTAGCATAACTAGGACAATGTGTGAATGTGTAAATGCTTGGATCAGAACTCCAAATGATAGCTAAGATGGTAAAAAATTGGTGCAGATAAGCAGAAATATTCAGAATTTTGCTTAGTTATATCAATACAAAAATACTTCATCCCATTAAGGAGGATCTACAATTCATTTTCTCCATGTAAATAAGAGGCTCTAGGACCCTGAAGACTCAGGGCAAATGGCAGTGACCTCATTCTGGCAGGACAAAGGCCTTTTTTAAAAAAAAATAGTACAGCTGTTTCCTAAGGATCTAGGAACTATTCTCAAAAACTTCTGTTTTAAGAAGCAATCCATTTTTTCCTGTTATAAAAATATCTTTAGTGCAAGCTCTTCTAGAATTGTAGTCTTGGATGCACTTGGGATGTTGAAATCCACTTAATCAATGCAATTAAAAAACAAGATGGAAAAATGGCATCTGATTTTAATTGAGTATGCCACTGTCAGATTATGTATGCTTCTAAAGGAGTCCTATTACAGTACTGTAGGCCTGAGTGAAGTAATTTTTAGTTAGGCCAGTACTCTTGTTAGGATCCAGGATGTTTAAAATGCTAATATTTCCAACAGCTGTAGTTCAAAGGAAAATGCTTACATTTTTTTCAGAACCAACAGACATACGTTCATTCAATCAGTCACAACCAAGAAGCAAAGAGTATCTCATGAATGTAGTCATAGAACTTTTTAATACTTTTATCAAAAAAAAATTCCTGCATATACAGCTTAGATGATTTAAAGTAAACTTCACATGTCTTTTCTTTAACCAAATCAATATAGTGTTTTGTGTATTTGTTTTAAATAATAAAATTCTTAGTACCACTGTTAAAAATTGTCAGTGGGGAAGGGGATTAACTCAATCAACTCTCTGAAACAGAGAAGCACAGGTTATTCTCACACACTCGAAGTTTGGCTGGTGAAAATAAGTGTACTATCGTTTGAAATGAGCCCAAAGATGGCACTTAGTGCTGAAAAGGTAAAACAAAAATGACAAAAATGTCACATTCCTAAAAAAGAAAAGAAAAAAGACAGTGTTTCCACTCGTTTCTTGATGCAACAACAACCCCAGAAGATGTTACAGTGGCTTTACATAAGTCATCAGTTATACAGAAACAAAGATGCACAACCCAGTCAAAAAGAAGCATTTCAAAGTCCCATTGATGGCTATCTGGTGAAAGTTCTTCAAAGGCTCAACATCAAGGGGGGGGGGAAAGGGTGTTAAAAAGTGTTCCCCTGGAAAGTGCTTAGCTGGACTGTGCTCAAAATGAGGTTATGATGCAAGAGTTGTTGTAATGGTACAGTGTTACACTGCACCTCACAAGTGCATTAAGGTGTCCAAATAAACACCCTCATTGTGCAAAATAGGTTCTTTTGCAATAGAAGTCGGATTGAAGCAGGGGTGGGGAGACAGAAAGGAGGGGATCCAAGCCATATCAAGGACAGCAGGCACCAGACTGTGGGAAGTTTGGGAATTCTCTAACCCCAAGCATATTATCCCATTCTTCTGAGAAGGGCTATTTCCAGAAGGAAAACCTTTTCATTGTGGAACGGCTAGGTCAGTGTTTCTCAACCTTGACAATTTTAAGGCATGTGGACTTCAACTCCCAGAATTCCACAGCCAGCATTGCTGGCTGTGGAATTCTGGGAGTTGAAGTCCACATGCCTTAAAATTGTCAAGGTTGAGAAACACTGGGCTAGGAAGAAGACGGCCCAATCCACTCACCCCCACCCTACCCCATAAAAATTAGAATCAGTCTCAAAGAGAGCCAGGTCCCAGTCCAGTGTCAAAGAAGCCCCCTCCTTTCCTTGCCCCAATTCAAACAATTGGCTATGTACAACTCAGCAGATACCCCTCCCTCCCTTCTCAGCAGTTCTCAATGCAGGGCTCTCTTCCCAGCCTGAAGGAAAACACCGATTCACTGCAGGGGGGGGGGATCCCGACCTAGGCAAATCTGTCCACCAGCCTCCTGAGGGAGGAGCAAGGCAAGAGCGCAGCTACGGTCTTCCGATCTCCTCCTGCTGTTTCACGGGAGATCTAGGCGCGGCGAGGCACCAATAGGCAGCCCTCTTCTCCAGCAAGGAAAAAAAAGAGGAGCGCTTTCGGTCCGTGGAAGCCCCACGACTGTCCTTCGCATAATGCGAGCCAGGCTGAAGAGCCAAGCTCACCGAGCAGGAGTTGCATCAACCGGTGGGGGCCCCCGTCGTGGAAAATCAGCGCTTCCCACGTCCAAGCGGGCGCGCAGCTTGCTCTCTCACCCCTCCCCGAAGAGTGCGGTCCGACCCCCCTCCCCGAGTTTGTTCTTGCGTGCGACTCTCCGTCGGGCTTGAGGAAGTCAGCCCAGTCCCCTTGACGCCTGTCTCTCGCCCCCTCCTCCCCCGGCGTCCGCGGTGTATTATAGCACTTTGCAGCAATTGATGCAACCGTTCTGGGTGCCGTAGCGCTTCTGCAAAGCCGCTCGCGTAGCCGTCTCAAACACCTCCCGCACGCCTTCCTTGGTCTTGGCCGAGCACTCGAGGTAATCGTAGGCTTGGATGCGGATGGCCATGGCCCGGCCGTCCTCGGTGCGGACGGGCTCCTGCTTCATGCGCGCCAGCTCGTTGCGAACGTGCTCGTCGTTGCGCAAATCTTTCTTGTTGGCCACCAAGATGATGGGCACGTTGGGGCAGAAGTGCTTGACCTCGGGCACCCATTTCTCCGGGATGTTCTCCAGGGAGTCGGGGCTGTCCACCGAGAAGCACATGAGGATCACGTCGGTGTCCGGGTAGGAGAGAGGACGCAAGCGGTCGTAGTCTTCCTGGCCGGCCGTGTCCCAAAGCGCCAACTCCACCTGCTTGCCGTCCACCTCGATGTCAGCCACGTAGTTCTCGAAGACGGTGGGCACGTAGACTTCCGGGAACTCGTCTTTGCTGAAGACGATCAGCAGGCAGGTCTTCCCGCACGCCCCGTCGCCCACCACCACCAGCTTCTTGCGGATCGCCGCCATGGCCAGGGTCGCCAACCCCGCCCTGCTCTGGTGCTCCAGCAGGGAGACCGAAGCGCTCTCTTCCCGGCGCCTGGTCGTCGCTACTCCTCTTGCCTCTTGGCCTTGTCGACAGGGCAGCGTGGCAAGGGCGGCGGGCGGCGCTGTCTTCTCCGGGCGCCGGAGGGAGCTACGGCTCTTCCGCGCGGCTTAGGCAGGGAGGGAACCGCCCACTTCGCCGGGGCCTCCGTTCTGCTCTTGGCTGGCTCCTCTGGTGCCTCCTGCCTGCTTGCATGGAAGAAGGAGTTCGGCTCCTTGCTCTCTTCTGCCCCGGATTCCCTTCCAGGGGACGCGGCGGCGGCAAGACGGGAGAAACCGAGAGCACAAGAGCCAAAAAAAAGTGGCGGCAGTTTTTTTCTGCAAGTTTTGCTCCTGCTTCCCCCGCTTTTCTTTTTTTTTGTCCAAAGAGTGCTCCTGCCGCCCGAGTCTTCCGTACTTTATGCCATAGCACCGCGACAGTCGGACGCTGGTATTTAAAGGGGCCGGCTACTTTCTTAATATAGCTGGCCAATGGAAAGGAAAGGGATGAGGTCATTGGTTTGGAGGAGGCGGATGATTGGTGGAGAGTATTGCAGGCGCTGGGGAGGGGGGGGAAGCAGGAAGCGACTGACAGTCGATCATGAAAGAGGGAGGGGTCTTGTCTGCGATTTCGCGAGCTGCTGAGATTTTTTTTTTTTTTTTAATAGATCCGAAGCAGAAAAAAAGGCTTTAAATCTTTGTCTGCTCCCCACCCACCCCGCTTCCGCCTCCCGATGGATGCGCTTTCAGGTTCTTCCAAATTCCCAGCTCCGATCTGGAGAGATTTTGTTTTGTTTTTTAAAAAAGTTTCGTCCAAGGTAAAAACAAATTAATTCTCTCCTTAGCCTTCCCGTCTCCCCCCCCCCTCCCCGCACTCGTTGTATAAACGATAATATTAGCTCGGCTTAGTCGTTCAAGAAAGAACCACAAAAGATGGCTTAAGAAGGCTCTGCGTGTTTTCTTGATTTTAGAGCTTTACTATACAGCACTGCACTGTTGTATAAAGACACGACAAGCCTTAGTCCGTCACTTGTTGCTACCGTAAGTTCACTGGATTCAGTTCGAATCAACCCTCCTATTTAAACTGGAGTAGGTTAAGAGGAAGTGATGAAAGTACTCTGGAATAGATATTTATATTATCATCTAAACCAGTGGTTCTCAATCTTTTTAATGCCGCGACCCCAACCGGTCGTAAGTCGAGGACTAAACCAGTCGTAAGTCAAGGACTACCCAACCAGTCGTAAGTCGAGGACTTTCCCTGCCCGGGAGCGCCGCGCATGCGTGGTTCCGCCCCCTGCGCCGGCCGAGGCGTAGCTGGCAAGCGGCAGAGACAGAGCAGGCCGACCACCAGCTGGCCCAGCCCAAGGGAGGTAAGGCACCCGCCGGAAAAGGGGAAAAAATGGCGGACAAAAAAATGGCGGACAGCCTTGCTTGGCGACCCCCGTGAAATGGTCGATCGACCCCAAATGGGGTCCCGACCCACAGGTTGAGAACCACTGATCTAAACGGATATGATCTATATAATTCTGCTAATTGTTATGGCCCAGCTCTCCTCAAAATGAAGTAATATTTTTCAATATAAAGGCAGGGCCCTATCAGTCTTGTTTATGTAATGGGTGTCAAATCACATAAAAAGAGAAGTTTATGCTGACATCCTCATCTCTTTTTTCCAGAGATAGCACCTCCCTTTTCAAAACTGAACATTCCAGGAGTATTTTATTTTCTGATTCTGCATGTATGAGAAAAATAAACTTTTTAAAAAATCAACAACAACTACTACTACTGTACTCCTTGGGATAATGGAGAAAACCTATCTATGTAGTCTTTAAGAGTCAACAACCACTTGATGGCACATCATTATCACCACCACTGCCACCTTGGGATCATCAAATGTAGCCACAATAGCAGAGAGATTAAAGGAAAAAATAATAATGAAATTCAGCTCCTTGGGAATTATTTAGAACTCATTTGAAATAAGAAATTCTCAGTTCAGTTTTAAAGCAGAGTTTTGTGTTTTGTCTTTGACACACAATGGTACCAGAATGTTAACAAAAAATGAAAAATCCAAAGAGCTGTGACTCTAGTAAGTCAACATACTACAGTAACAATACTGAGTGCCACATAGAACCAAGTAAAGTGGTTTTTGCCATACAGAAGCTGGTTGTAACAATCTTCAGGGCTACATTGCTGTAGACATGCTTACCTCTGAAGACCAGCAGAATGTTTCAGATTAAGCGTCAGTCACAGGCTCAATTGGTGAGCATTTGAGTTCAACTCACAGTGGTTCTGTATAACCTGTGGGCTCCCAATGGTGAGGCCTGAGTAATTTTGTTTAGAGGACATAAGCAGCTTCAACTTATCCTTGATTCTGTTAATTATAGCCAATCTGAATAAAAAGTACTCTCAACCTTCCTGCAGAGTTGATTTCTTAGTCTGGTCTGCCTAATGGGGCTCATATCAATCTTACAAACCTGATTACATTTGGTCTCCTCCTCCTCCTAGCTTAGTGAATTAGGGAGGTGTCTGACAGAGTCGCTTCCAAATATTATCCGTGGTAAACTGAAAATACGTTTTACTCCTCATCGCCCTGGCAATGCATCTTCCATATGCCCATCAAGGTCATCTTCCTTTCTTTCTACATAGAGACCACTCGCTCCTACTTCAGTCTATACCCCTGTTATCAGACTAATTTTTGCCCATCTGACTAATAATAGGCATGGAAGAGGGGGTTTGCTGAGTGGAAGCAAAGGAAGCATTCCCTGTCATGTCACTAGGCCAGGCAACCAGACAGGTGGCTAAACCCACTAATCTAAGCAACTGTCTAAATATTGCCCTATCCCACTCCATATTAGGGAGAGTGGTTGATTCCCCCCCCCCCACTCTGACAGGTGAAGCTTAATAAAAACATAAACAAAACTGGAGAAATCTACTAATCTCTTCACTAAATGTGACCCACAATACATATGTAAGGTTAGCACCATTTTTTTTTGTTTTATTACTCTGTTGAATAGGGGTTGACAGTGGGGAATACATCATCTTCTACCGCTTAAAGGACTAGTAGAAAGTATTTGAACCAGCTGGGAAGAAGATTTGTATTCTTCCCAGTAATTATTTTCTCTTTCAGGAATACTCCCTCTTAATCCAACCTCCACCCTCACTCCCACACAAGGCCACTCTGATTCTTCCCCATAGTTCTCTTTAACCCTTTATCAGTTTCCACTCTCTGGCCCATCCCACTTCTACTTCCCCAATGATGGGCTATTTCCCACTGAATTGCAGTGGTCCCATTTCCTCCTGCCATCCATGTTCTTCTTTCCTTTTGCTTTGTTTCTTGTTTTTTTCCAAGCAGCCAGCAACAAGATGGGTTTTAACCCTCTATTACCTTTGCTGCTTTTGAATGTCTTAAAGTTCACATAGAGTCTCCCAAGGTGCCCAAGGTGTAATGAAGTTGGCAATTGTTGAGGACCAACATTGCAGTCATCAATTCTTTTTTTTTAAAAAAAATTGTTTGCAAATAATTGGTGTTAGAAGGGCATTTCACAGGAGCAGAAATAGTTGTTCACATGCACCATGTAGCTTATCCCCCATTAAACATTAAAAAAAATATTTCCCCCTTCTTTGCTTCTAAAATAGCAGATTGTGGTTGTATTGGAAGGAAACTCTTTGCCCCTGTTCAAGATCATCACCATTTGACCAACTGGTCACCTCAAGTGAGAGTGAGTGAGAGACAGCAGCAACTCTTACATAAAAATAAAATATTTCAGGATAATATATAAATAACTTAATACCATTGTATTAATATCATTGTCATTAGGTATGATATTCATTCAGCCTGGCTTGTGATCACACATGGACACAGCAAATAATCTTTTAAAATCATGCTAAAGAAATAATGTTTGCTTTGTCTCGATATACTAGTTTCACCAAATTCTCTACCAACCCCTTGTTTTTTCCATCACCAGTTACAGCTTCTTCTGTTCCCAAGTCCCATGTTTTCTCCTCAGTCCATTGAGTCATGGTAACACACGTGTACGTAAGTATTAATACTGATATCCCACCTTTCTAGTCAAAATCCTATTCAAGATTGCTCAGAACAAAAAAAAATGTAACTAATCTGGCATCTGGGGAAAATGATTTATGAGAGACAGTTGATTGAATGGTGGATTGTTGTTGTTGTTGTTATGGTCAATGGACTGGAAGTGCATGGCTGGGCTGATGGTTGTGGTTGTAATTTGTGTGTGTGTGTGTGTGTGAAATTTTAGTGGGCAGCTCTGGCATGGGCCCTGGCAGTATTAGAACAGGGCACTGATTATGGGGAGATGTTAACTGTCACCCTATAGCAGAGGTGAGGAACTATGGTGCCTTTATGACTTTTGGACTTCAACTCCCAGAATACCTGTGCCAGCATGGCCCCCAAGTCCCCAAGTCATAGAAGGGCCATAGTTCCCCGCCCCTGCTCTACAGAGTAGATCAGACGAAGAACCCCATGCATAAAGACCTGAAACTACTTTTACTGGAACAGCTATAATAACAGAATCCTGCAAGTCTGAATGTGCTTCCCTCCTTCCTCACTTTATCTTTGTGCGAAATAAGGAGCGGCCATCTGAGGTGGTGTTTTTTTTCCCCCCAAATTAGATTCTTGGAATAGACTTCAGCTGTTCTTGCTTGATTGTTGCTTTGTTAAACAGATCTTCCTATTTTCCTTTAAGGCCCTTCTTTATGTCAGTGTTTTTCAACCTTGGCAACTTGAAGATGTGGGGATTGAATTCCTCAGTCAGCATGCTGGCTAGGGAATTCTGGGAGTTGAAGTCCACACATCTTCAAGCCACCATGGTTGGGAAACACTGCTCTATGCCCTCTCTATTAACAAAAGGACAATGGCCTTCTGGTTCCAGGGAAATGGAACCTTGGATAATGTCCCTAACTCTACTTCAGACCATTCTTGT